TCTCCTGTCTGAGCAATTTGAAATGCCACAACAGGGCTTTGGTCTGTAAGCACTGCTTGTGGTACCCTCTGCTCTGAAAAAAAAAAAGGTTTCTATTAGTGAAGAATGAAAACTTAGATGCAGGGAAGCTTGGTCTTTAGAATATTTTAAAAGAGAAAAATACAGTATGTTGCTTGCATCTACAGATTACTTAAATGTATAGACAGACCACTGGGAGGAGGTCAGTAAACTGCAAGTGGAAGCACTGCAGGGTTTGAGTGGTTTTGGTTATTGATTTTAACAGAATGGGTTTACATCAGAAAACCCATTTTTCTAAACATAAAAACTTTCATCCTTTGGTGGAAAAAAAGTGCTCTCATGTTTTAATGATTTCATGAAGATGATCTGTATTGAACGCATCATATCTATGAATTTATTTTACTTCTGAATGAAAATATAACTTTAGATCTATTGCCTAATATGTAGCATGTAGTACTGTCCTTTATACTTCTTTAATGTGGCTTAGTATTACCAAAAACAAAGTACATTTGGAATTTTGATTCAGTAAGAATTCTCATTTCTTCTTAGTACCACTCATTTTACAAACTCATGCTCTCAAACTATAAACTTATAACAAAAATCATAGGAACAGTCTGAGATACAGGTATCCAGAAGTTCTGCTTTGGCCATGGTTTTTGATACCCCTATACCAAACAGATCAGATGTAGTACATCTTTATTCATACAGTCCACATGTTTTTCAGGTTTACCTATAAAAAGTAGATGCTTAGCTACTAAATAGTAAAAATACCAGTAAATTAAAAAATATGTATTAACCAGATTCAAAAATATTGTTTCTATTTTAAAGAGTTACATTGCTGTTCATATTGGAACCACTGAAGTTCACCAATTTTCAGAGTTCTATAAATATCTAAATGATCAGGGCATGCAAACAAAAATAATATAGGACAGTGGAGAGAAAAACACTTGAAAACATATCAGTACTGTATAAATTACTATTTTTAGCTATTCAGTTATTTCAGATTTCTTGCATTATATTTAAAAATACTTCCTGAGAATAGGTGTCTCAACTCTTATGACACATATTTAACAAATCTATTCATGGAAATCTTCCATCTGTTCTGAAATGAATAAGAATGTTACTATAATTGTTTTAGATCTATATGAAGACAAATGACAGACCAACTGCTGTAATGGAATTTTTAATGAAATGTTCACATTTCTGGCTGACTGGGCACACTACTGTGATCTAAGGACTAACAGAAAAAGATGAAAATTCCTTAGATCTGTCTTTACTGTTCGGGCAGAATTATCCTGTTCTGTACCTATCTGTAAATGCTTACATTCAGAAAAGTCATCTGTTGCACACAGTAGATGATGTAGTCTCTTTCATAAATGCTTTATCTTCTCTATAACACTACAGCTGTATGCATTAATAGAATACTTAATAAAAGATAGAGTGCCACTAGAAGTATACTCTAACTTTAGGGTAGACTTTCTGACATAATCTGGTATTTTATTCTGTAGTTCACACAATTCTATTCATTTTAAGTATCCCTATTTAATGGAATCATGAAAGAAATCTCTACATTAGAAAACTGAGGCCTGATCTTCAAAAGAACTCCAGTTTGGCTACCTAAATTGCAAGATTTTGAGGAGTATTTAGCATTCTGTAACTTACTGGAACAAATAGAAGCTGACCTCAAACTTTTGCTACTGAAGTGAGCATGAGGAATTTCTTTTCACAAAACAAGCTTTAAAATTCTAATCACCAGGTCTAAGCCTTTCTGAAAGATTAAAGCAGAAAAAAAACCCCACAAGTACTCACTCAACTGTCATTTGCTTAATTTTCTAATATTTTTTTAAATATTGATAAGAGTAGTATGTAAAAGAAGGGCTGGGGAGACTTCCAGTTTCCAAACTGAGTTGTGCCGAATAATCAGCAGCATACCCATGGCTAATATGATTAGGATGAGAAATTAGGCAGATATTGCGGTTCAAAATGTGGGCTTTTTTGTTCCTTTTTCTCTTAAAAAAAATCCAAACAAAAAACCTTCTAAGGAATGTTAAGTCTAGTCTGGCCCCAATAGAACCAACAGCAAAATTTCCATTAATTGGACAGAATCTCATCCGCTGTCTCAAACTGTAAAAGCAGTTGCTATCTTTGTCTAAGCAAAAATAAAAATGTGCCCATTCCTCAATGGACACAGCTCATACCTTACAGCTTATTGAGCTGGAAAACCTCATTGGCTTGGAGCTGATGCATACCTGCTTTTGTGCATGGTGTCTTCTGGCACAGACAGGAAAGAGATGGGAGCAGTAGCATTGTAAGATGCAGACAAATTTACCTGAACTTCACAGACACACCCCCACAATATATAGGCTAACATTCTTTCAGAATATACAGATTAGTTTAGAACACTCTGACAAGAATATATATACAGCTAAGGATATCTCCATCCCTCCACACCTGTAACTTCTACAGCTATAAGCAGAAACTACTCTGATGTAACACACAATGCTCTCACACTTTCCACTGTGAGTCTTCTCATGCAAGCCTGCTTTTCTATAACAATCTCAAATTTGCAGCCTGACCACTTGTGCTCAAAAGTCAGCAGCAGTTTTCTTTAACTGTAATACTTGAGTTTGGTCTTTCCACTCCAGTGTCTGCTGTCCCAGTGAGCTCCATTTTCATTTCTTACTTTCCAAAAAAAAATCCCAATGAGGATCTTCTTGAGAGGTTATGGAGTTTATCCCTCAGCTTCAAAGCAAAAGAAACCATATTTAAACCACTCCTAATAGATGTTTCTCTAACCCATTCTTGAATGTTACCATTAGTGGAGATTGCAGTACCTCCCCAGGCATTCTCTTTTAGTGATTCATATTTAAAATATTTTTTTTTCTAATGTAATTGTTTACTGCTGTAATTTATGCTCATGGTTTCTTGCATTCTTCATAGCAGACCTTGAGAAAATTTACTTTCTTCACATTTTACACTTTTGAACTCTTATCATAACAGATATGTTTTGTACAGTCTTTTCAACCCCGACTTACCTAGGAAGAAGTGCACACAATTTCAGATAAGAAAACATAGCAAGACGAATATATTTAGAAAAAAAAAAAGTAGATCCTATTTTGGACCTACTATCTTTATATCTATGATCATATACAGTAAAACATTTTAACAATGGTCATTTATCATGTTCCTCAAGAGAACCAATAAAATGCAATGAATACACATCCTCTGATGTTGCACAGGTACAAAATGTATAGTTTGTTTACAAACTAATATTACTGAATGTAAAATGAAGCAACATTTTAAAAAAATATATTGGTAAAGGTCCAAAGTTTACATTTTCTAAAATATTAAGGTCATGTTTTATTTACAGACCAGCATTTGAACAATTACTGGCATTTAAAGATAACTGCTTAACCTGATGAATACATGAATAAAACGAAGCTGTAAAAAAAAAACCTAGACCAAATAAAAGCCCCTCAATAATTGAAGTTCCATATAACAGTTTCAAAACCACTATTTTAAATTTCTATTAAGAAAAGCAAGATGTGATCTACCACACAGTAACTTATCAGAAACTGGTCTAACACTTTGATATGCTATAGGTGTTGCAAGTGACCAATGTTACCAACCATGTGCCCGAGCGTGTTTTTTGCCCATTCCAACTTCAAATGAAGTTTTCACAGCAGCTGTAGTATTTACAAATTTAAAATAAAGGGTCGATATACCTTTGGATTGCATTGCCACTGTTACTGTGTCTTCTCTTGATGACCACAAGTAGCAGACTGCAATCCAAAGACCACTTATTTCCTTGACTCTGTGAGTTAACTATTGTTATCAGCATGTACCCCAGCTGGTTTTAAAAAAAAAAATAGACTAAGCAACTGACTAATAGTGAACACTCACCCAGGATCAATTCTGACAGAACTCACTCACTGAAGTCCCCCTCTTGATGAGGGGTGGTGTGTCAAAAGGTGGAAGCTTTTAAACTAGAACAGGACCTATGAGCTGTAAGATCAGCCAAGACACAAACCCCAGCTGAGCCTGCGGGCAGGTATGTGACACCCTTGGCTGCAGCTTCAGGAGTCTGGCAGTGACACCTGGTCACCTGCTCCTGCAGATACTCCTCTGCCTTCACTGTGCTAGGTTAGGTGACTTGAAGTTGCATAATAAAAAAAACCATCTCAGGCTGTATTAGCTGTTACTGATTTTTACTGGGTTTGAGTAAGGAGCATGTCTCCTCCATGCTCCACCCTTTTTCCTTTGTGGCCCAGTCCCACCTCTGGGGCCCTGTATAAAAGTGAACAGAAAAACAAATGAGGCAGACATTTTTGCCCACAGAAGGGACTGGTGAATGCCATGACACTTCTGCTTTGCCAGCCAGAATCCCTGTGAATAATGCAGTTTTATCAAGAATGCAAGTAATTCATTAAAACTTGCCACCTTTATAAAAATAGGAGGATATCTGAGGGAATGGAATAAGAAGCAATTTCATTTTGATTACCATCCTCCTTTACACTCTGTTGTACCATCCTACATTAGGTGAAAAAAGGAAGAATTAAAAAGCTTAGGGATTCAGTGTATGCTTCTCATAAAAATTGTAGGTACAACACCTAAGAATTATGAAAACCAAATAATTTCTTTCCATGTTTGTGATTTTTGAGATCTCAGCGTTTTCAAGCATAAGTCACTGATTCTTACTGATTGCAATGTTTACATCGTATTCAGTATTGCATACTGGATGAAGCAAAGTATCGGCCAGTGATGATCCCTGCTACAGAGAACTTGATCACATTCTCAAATTAAAGCAGTTATTAGTGCATTATACTGCTAGTGACAACAAAACTGTTTCACATTCTGAGAATACCCATCTCTGAAACGTTTTAACATACCTAACCAAGTGATGCTATGCATTCCTATGTAACATTCAAATCCTCTAAAAATATGCTTTCTTGAAAAGATTCTCAGTCTAAATGTATGTCAACAACAGATTTTGCTCCATTTAATTTCTTATATTATCTCTGATAAAGTTCCTGCTTTAGTTTTTAACTACAGGCTATAGTTTCTAATTGTTGCTCTGCTTCAGCAGCCATGGCTGCTGCCTGCAACTGTTCTGTTTCACTCTGGATGGAATTGGCTGCTGTAACTTGCTTTCTTTCACTGTGCATATTGTTCTCGTGCCTTTTTAGGTCAGATGCCTTAGCAAATGCTTTAGTGCAGGAACTGCAGACAAAAGGTTTCTCTCCTCGGTGCCTTCTTTCGTGGTCTTTTAGGTGGGACTTGTGCTTGAAAGCTTTATCACACATATGGCATGCAAATGGCCTCTCATTACTGTGAACTCTTTCATGCTTTTTTAGATCTGGTGCACGAATAAAAGACTTCCCACACACCTCACAACTGTAAGGCTTGTAACCCGTGTGTATTTTCAAGTGTTCTTTCAAATGAGCCTGCGTGGTGAAGCCCTTTGTACACATTTCACAAACAAATGGTCTGTCTGCAGTGTGTAGTTTTTCATGTTTTCTCAAACGCGCTTCATCAGAAAAGGTCTTGCCACAAGCCTGACATACAATGTGTTCCCTGTGACCATAAAGCAAGTACTCAAACTTCATATCCCCAGCTGCTGTGGTCCATCCTGGAGTTTGTTCATCTTTCACCTCACTTATGCCATCATTAAACGTGAGTGCCTGAGGCGTCTGAGATCCTAAGTCTTTAGATTCCGTTGTTTCCATAGGTTCTACTTCTTGGCCATAGCAGTTTACTTTTCTAACTTCTTCACTTCCCAACTCTTTCAGAATTGCCTCTTGCACTCTCAGAGTAGTGGTTGGTGATTTACCATCTTCCTGACTTGGGGGAGTGCCTTCTACTGTCACATCTGATGGACTGTCATCATGATCTCCAATCTCTTCCACCTCATCATCTTGGGTATCATTGGGTTCCCCAATAGAACGGTTCATTTTTAGACAGTACTTGCTCTTGGACTGTGTGTTTTCTTCAGGACTAGATACATCACGTTTTTGAGAGCAGAGTTTATCAAGAAATCGAATACCAAGGATCTGGCCTGAAGACATCATCAAGTTTACATCCTCTTTTTTAACAGAAATCTTTGCAGTATACATGTAATTGAGAACTTCCTCAAAAATATCAGAACGAAGAAAATCTATTTCTATAACTGATGAACTATCAACTTCAAGTTTTTTGAAAAGCTTTTTGAAGTAGGTACTGCAGGCAGCAAGCACACACCTATGGGCTCTGAACTTAACATCTTCAACCACAATAGCGATGTCACAAAATTCTCCTTCCAAACGTTGTTCATTCAATGTTTTCAGGAACACAGTTTTGTGATCGTCGTCATTATATTTAATGGTTTCAGACATACTGATGAAAAACTCCTGTAAATTAACAGGAAAATTTTGTAACTTTTATAAAGCAGTCTAAGTCACAAAACCCCAAGAGATGAAGTAATTTCCATCATTTAAAAAAAAACCCAACTTTTTTTTCTCATAAAATGACCACAAAAAGCCTGTTACACTGTAAAAGTATTACTCTGAAACTGATTTTAAAATTGTCAATGTTCAAAATTCTTATGTTACACAATTTACAACTATTCAAATCTTTATTACAAAATCAAAAACTTTCTCTTTAAAACTCCAATTCTCATTAAATGTATGACCCAACCCATAAGTCATTATTATAGCCAAAGGAAATGTTAACACTAAAAATGTGTAAGAAATAGTCTAAATAAGTCTGCACGACAAACTATATTTGACATATCAAATATAAGCCTTACCATGAACAATGCGGGAAGTTTTCTAAGCAAATGATTATTAAATTAATCTCAGAATGGGCCACCTTCAGCCTGAAAGATGGGAAGATAATAACATTTCAGTATGTGATAATATCGATTCCAAAAATTATTCTGAGTGTTAAAAGACAGCATTTTCAATTATTTAAAGTTAGATAAAATACAGTTTAAATACCCAGTTATTTTTTCAGTGACACTACAGACAACTGTAGAGGACAACTCCATGCATTTATTTTCCTATGGCTACTGCACTTCCCTGGTTCCACTTTCCTGCTACTTAACTTTGCACTAAATCTAAAGGTCTGAAAAACCTCCCCAGGAATCACCACAATTAACGCAGTAACCGACCCATCAACAAGGTGATCAGTCTTCTGCTGAACCAGAGAGCTGAGCCAGCCTAGCAGAGGGTCTGGCAAGCAGACCAAACATCCCAAAGGACAGCAAAGCAGGGACAGGGATGGATGCACATCCAGGACCACGAAAAGGGACAAGTGTACCAGATTTCCAAACTATAGAGATACCAGAAAACAGAAGGATAATGCAAGACACATAATTTCAAATTATTCAATCCCAACTGACATCTAATTGTGCCAAAGCAGGAAACACAGTGGAGAGGAGGGGAATTTAATACTTTGGAACAAATCCAGTGCCACCTGGCACAGATCTCCTGGGAATTTCTTCCCTAAAATCTAATTTATCTGTAACCATATATGAAAGAGAAGCAGATGACAGGTATGATGACAGGTTTGCAACTCTTGGTGCTGTGTGTTTCACACGATATGGGAACACCTGGCTCTGCAGGTCTGGCACGTCCACTAAAGTGTCCCTGGCTACACAGAAAAATTAAAATAAAAAAGTAAAAAAAGGATGGCCAAAATTCTTTTCTTAGTCCCAAATAACCAAATTTTAAGATAGCTAGATAGTAAGTCTGTAAATACTTGAAATATACAAAAGGAAACAAAACTGGAAAGCAATATTGTATATATTTCTGGTTCTGCTGGCCCAGGAAAATGTATCGGTCCAGCATTGAAGATTGTAGAACAAACAACTATTTAAATGGGATTTTTTTCAAGTTCTTTGCAAGATAGGAAAATGCTTTCTTCTTAAGCAAGCATCAAAATGTCACTGGCAATAATCTAGCAGCAATTGCACCGTCCTGTTAAGCAGTATGCGGTTTTGCTGCAATTCTGTCGACACTGAGAATGAATTATAGAAGTAATTGGCTGAAAACAGGGCTGCGGAGTATACAGGGGTGTGCAACTGGCAAAGAACAAAGTTATTCCTTTGCGAATGGAGCGGGTCAGGCACTCGCCCAGAGCGTTTCTAGCTCTGGTTCCTTATTTCACTGGGCAATTCAGATTTATTCCTCCACACGCTTTTTATACGGCCGCTACCTCCGCAAGGGCCGCAGGGAGGTGTTTGCGGGGCTGCGACTGCTCGGGACGCGCTCGGTGCCTCCCCGCGCCGGCTCTCGCGGCCGCCGTGCCCGTGACCGCGGAGGCGCACGCCCGCTCCACGCACCCGCGGGCGCGGCGCGGGCGGGTTCCCGGCGGGGACCGGCCCGGCCCCTGCCGCGCCGCCCGCGCTCCCGGCCCGGCGTCGGGGGCGCCCCCGAGCGCCAGGCGGCCGCTCTCCGGAGCGAGCCCGGCGCTCCCGCCGCGCCGCCTCACGGGGCTGCGCGGGGACGGCGCCCCGCTCCCTCCTTCCGTCCGTCTGTCCGTCCGTCTGTGCCTCCCTCCCTCTCTCCCTCCCCCGCTCCAACGGTTCTCGCGCGGCTCCCGCCGCCTGGACGCGGCCGCGCGCCCCTTTGTTGCGGCGGCCACCGCCGCCGCGCGGGACCCGCGCGCCCCAGCGTGCGCATCCGCCGCTGGACGCGTCCTCTTCCTCCTCCTCCTCCTCCCCCTCCCGCTGGCCCTCCCCTCGCCCGCGGGAGGCAGGCGCGCAGCGGCGCCGGGGCTGCTGGCGGCGGGCGCGCCCGCGGCAGCGCCATCTCACCCAGCGCGCGCTGCCGGGGCTGTAACGGCGGCGGCGAGCGGGGGAGGGATGGCAGAGGGAGGGGGGGAGGAGGGGAGGAGGAGGAGGAGGAGGAGGAGGAGGAGGAGGAGGAGGGAGGGGGCGTGCGAGGGAGAGCGCGCGCGCGCGCAGCGCAACGGCGGCCGGGCCGCGGCGCGGGAGGGCGCGGGGGAGGAGGGGGGAGAGGGCTCGCGCTTACCTGCCGCCCGCCCTCGCGCGCGGAGCCGCGCTTCCCGGGGGGCGCGGGGGGGCCGCCGCTGCCACTGCCGCCGCGCGGGAGGGGGACGGGGGAAGGGACGGGAAGGAGGGAGGGAGGGAATGGGGGGGAATTTGGGGAGGGGGTCTTGGGGGGGGGGGGGGGGCCCTGCGCGCGTCTCTCCGGCCGTCACCGCCGCCTCCTGCACGAGCACTCCAGTGCGCGCGCGCGCGCGCTCGGGGAGGGGGGGGCGCGGGGGGTGCGTGCATGCGCGGTGCGAGCGGAGGGCGCGCCTGTGCCCGGGGAGCGCGGAGGAGGAGGAGGAGGAGGAGGCTGGGGCGGCGGGGAGGGGGGGGAGCAGCGGGGCCTGCGGCGCACCAGTTCCCATCGCCCTCCCCCCGCTCCGGGGGACGCGCGGCTCGGGCCGCGGGGGCGCGCGGGCCGCGGCCGTTCCCGCCGCGCCTGCGCCCGCCGCGTGTGCGAGCCCGGGGCGCGGGCACGGCCTCCCCCCGCCAGGCGGCGCACGGCGGCGAGCGCGGCGCGGGCTCGGCCCCGAGCCGGGCGCGGCGGGACCCGCGCGGCCGTTGGGCGGCGCTCGGGGGCGCGCCCGCGCGCGTCCGCGGAGGGGCGGCGGCGGCGGGAGGTGCGGGAGCGATGCTGCCCCTGATGTGTCCCTTGCCCGCCACCGAGAGCAGAACGGCTCTGCCCACCCAAACCCGCCCGCGCTCCCTGGTGCAAATACTCGGGGGGTTGGATTTTAAAAGGCATAACGCGATCGCTAGGAAGGAATAAAGGCTTTTGTTGCACTGCTCATCTCCCACCTCCGGTTTTCTTTCCAAAAAGCATCTCATGAGATGCTGCTCTGATGGCACAGCTTTCACTGGAATAATTTGTACATGAATAAAACCTTACAGTGCTTCTGCTAGTGCTTCTGCAGCATGTCTGCTTGGGAAAAAAAATCGGTCAGTACTTGTGTTGGAAAGTACAGCGAATTAAAGAACCCACTGGAATAGTGGAGTCATCTCCTGGGAGCAACAAATTGACCTTTTTCATTGGGTTGATAACTCCTTTGCCTTCCTGGGCTATTTTCTGAGAGGTTTTCTGTGTAATGCACTAACATATGTACTGGGTTTTGGTCCAGCTGGATCGCTTTGTTTTGCTGGGTTTTTTAAATAATTTTTTCCTACCCCCTGTTAAATATAATGAAATTAAGTCCCTATTTTGCCTGGGCAGTCAGAACTTCCAGGCTCGTTTTTGTAGTAACATTGTTACATTCAGAAGGCAGAATTAACTGTCTAAAATAAGACAAGGAGTAGTGGGTTCAAAGTGAGAAGGGATATTTTGGTTGAATGTAGAGAAGACATTCTTCCTTGTGAGGGTGATGAAGCACTGGAACAGGTTGCCCAGAGAAGCTGTGGATGCCCTATTCCTTGAAGTGTTCAAGGCCAGGTTAAATGGGGCTCTGAGCAACCTGGTCAAGTGGAAAGTGTCCCTGCCCATGGCAAGGGGGTTGGAACTAGATGACCTTTATGTTCCTTTCCAACCCCAAACCATTAGATGATTGCATGAAGTCCTTGAAGTATTTCTGATTCCTGTAAAAGAATTCTCTCCACTTTGGAAGGAACTTCCCTTTTACAATTTCACAATGTGCTATTTTTTTCTTTGACAGTGTCCCAAACACTCCTGCAATAACCTTATTGCTCCTGAGAAGCACATAGCTGCTGGCTTACCACAATGACCAGCAAATGGCACTGCTTCATTTCGTTAGCATTGTCTCTTCCTGCTCTATCTGTACCTGACAGTGTGGATATGCCTAGCTTTTGGGGCTGGGCTCTGCTGTGGGTAATCAGAATTAAACTAGTGATTGAAAAAAGAACTACAAAAGTTACAGCTATCCATTTTTTCTCTCTGCTTTTCTGTATCTTAGGCTACTGCTGAATGTGTGTTTCTATGTGTTTCAAATTGTATCATTAGTAGCTCCCACTGAGATACTAAAATAGGGGAAGCATATGTTCAATATCCAGATTCAGTAACTATGGATTGTGGAGAATAATAAAAAAAAATTAAAAATCTTTGTTACTATCTAACTGTGTGGTGGGTTGACTCTGGCTGGATGCCTGGTGCCCACCAAAGTCAGGGTCAGCTGAGCAGGGGAGAGAAAGTATGTTGGAAGGCACATGTATTGAGATATAAGGGCAGGGGGAGGTCACTCTCCAATTACTGCTACGGGCAAAACAGTCTCCATTGAGGAAATTATTTTAATTTATTACCAGTCAAATCCAAGTAGAGAAATAAAAACTGAAACTTAAAACCTCCTTCCTCCACCTCTCCTTTCTTCCCAGGCTTAACTTCATTCCCAATTTCTCTCCTCTCTTCTTTTTTTTCCCTGCCAGCTGCTGAGGGGACTGGGGGATGGGGTCAGTTCACACATTGTCTCTGCTGCTTATTCCTTCTCAGGGAGAGGACTCCTCAAACTCTTTCCCTTTTTTCCAAAACCTAGTGCAACATTAATATGTAATGAAAAATATGACATACTCTACTGGGTTTGTGTGACAACCTTTTGGTAATGGGGAGGAAAACAGAGGTAACTTCTGTGAAAAGCACTAGAAGCTTCCCCTGTGTCTGACAGAACCAATGCCAGAAGAATCCAAGACAGATTCACTGCTGGCCAAGGCTGAGCCCATCATTGAGGAAGGTAGGGGATAACATTGTTAAGAAGTGAGGGCAAAACCTGTGCAACAGAGAGACAGGAGGGAGAATACATAAAGGAAGCAGCTGTGCAAACACCAAGGTAGGTGAAGAAGAAGGGGAAGGAGGTGCTCAGCGCTGGAGCAGAGATTTCCCCTGTTGGGCAGCCCATGGTGAGGCAGTTGGTTGCCCTGCAGCCCATGGAGGTTCATGGTG